GACTTCCGGCCTTCCATTTGAACCTTTAGGCTGTCTTTCTTCCGCAGCAGCGGAGTACATCCCAAGGGTTTAATTTCAGAGATTAAAAATGCAACGTTATTTACCACACAGGAAAAATCCGGCCTTTTTTTTGAACCATTCATTGCACGGTTTAATTGAACCTCGTATTCTTTTTTAGAATTCAAGAAAAATGGACGAGTAGCAGGATGTAAGATTTTGTAGCAGTGTTCATCCTCAGTCATCTTTGATGGAGCAATCAGAGGAACACTTTCATAACTGTAGTGTAAAAAATTATAATCACTATTCAATATACATCATGTAAAACAGGTCAAACTACATACATATCGTTGAATGATCTTGCAACTGCTTTACTAAGTATGGACTCGCCAGCATATATATATGCATCTTCACCAATCCAATGTTTGTAAACTGCATCTTTTAAGGAGGAAGAAACTTCAAGTGGAAATACAGGCCCCGTTGATGCATATGGATTAGTTTTCATAATTAGTCGCCATTCTTCAGTCGTAAACATTGGATACGGGCATGGCCAACATAATATTATAATTGACGACAAACCCCTAAAAGGAAAAGACGTTTTAGCAGATTTATTACATAATTGTCGTGCTTGCCTACTCCATAATACAAAGTAGCATATCATTTTTTCTCATAGTATATTGAAGTCTATAGTCTCGTACTTACAGAACCTCATAGGTGTCGTTCCATGTCAACCCTTCATTGCTTGCCTTGTTAAGCACCTTTCTTTGGTATTCCCGAAACTTTCGTGTCACTTGAATATCGTCAACTACCCACTGAAACACAAACCATATTTTAAGATAATAGAGATATAGCATAAGAAAGAGAAAAGAGAGAATTACTTCAATTAAAGGTTCTTGCTCCAGCTGTTTTGTGATATCTGTCAGATCAATTTTTATTTTTTCATCATTATCAAATGAAGAATCATCAACAGTAGAGGAGGAAGCGAAGCTGATGTTGGAAGTAGAGTGAACATCGTCAATTTGGTCGGCATTTATGTTTTTATGCGTAAAAGGCTGTTTGTCTGCACATAGACCGAAAGTATTTGCAAGTATCAGTAAATTTAGAATCTATCAATTTATATATATAAAAGCTTACCATCATATTGGTCATCTAACTTTTCATCAAAAGCAATATGAGCTTTGCGTTTCTTTTGCTTCATGCTGTTCTACATTGTCAAAGGATATCATCATGATTAATATTTTTTTTTTCATTGTAATACTTAAACCAAATATACAAATAATTGCTGCTATTTTTACTATTTTTGTGGAGTTATCATCACTATTGTCGATATCTTCGTCGTCATCGTTTTGGTAATAATCACTTTTGTCAAGTTGAGAAGGATCAGGATGGACAAACGATCTCCGTTTGGTAAATTCATCCGCTTGGTCGATAGTTGCAACATCTAAAACTTTCAACGCACTAATCTGTGTGTTAACTTGGGCTTCATTCTATTCATTGTAATAATATACCATTAGCCATGATTCTAATAAACAAATATCAACTTATTGTTTTATACGTGGACTAAAAGGACGACGCACTTGCTTTGCTTTAAGCTTTCTGGATAGATCGAATTGATTCCAAAATTGTGAGATTTCACAACCGTACTTCTAATGATATTAAAGCGTAGTTAATTATTAGTAACTAGATAATACAATTTTACAACATTTATGTTGTTCATCCAGAGTTTTCTACATATTGCATTGAATCCAAAGGTAAGGGACGAACCTTCTCTCAGTGATGCAAATAAGTAAAAAAGCTCAAAAAAGCTGCGTGAGGGACGATACCTATACCCTCGAGAGCTACACGATCTTTTTTTAAAAGATAGAACCTAATGTATAGTATTTTACAGACCTGAGTGACCAAAAATAAAGCAGTTTTTCTTTGTTCTTCGCTTGTACCATCCTTTAAAACGATTTCTTTCAGGTAACTTAAAAATCGTTTTCGCCACAGTGATTTCAACTTTTGTATTGGAGTGCCAATATCAAAATATGGTTTCATGGCTTCCAAATATCCAAGATATGACCATTGCGTGGGAGTCTTGTCAAAATACTCTGCAATTATTGAATCTAAACATATATATACATATGAGACTAGCCCAAATATATGAAATTAAAATAAACAACATACTGTAAATATTGTCCATTTTCAAACGGTCGCGACCTTCTGAATACCTATACAATATTCCGAAATTTTATAAAGCAATAATGTCACAATTCACGCGCTGTTACACAATATTTTAACCAATAAAAAGCATAATGGACATTCGATTTTCTAGCGATATTATTGGTTGAAATTTGTGATAATCATTTTTGAAATACAGTCAGACTTGTCTATAATCACCACTTTTGGTTTTTAAAAATTATGTGATTATAAATAGGGGTGATTATATATAGTAAACTATATA